AGCAGGACTGCCACCAGAACCTTAGTTGTCACGTAACCCCTAAGGACTGTATCAATTGGGTCCTGGTGCGAATATTGCCTACGTCACCCCGCTTGCAACAACTTTTTCTCCGCTTTCGCCGCGACTTTGAACCAATGCTCCATCCCCGTGATTCATTCCTTCTCCTTAGCTCAGGCTCAGAAGAGTGTGGACGCCTGTTGTCGCCCAAGAAAAATATTGTGTCACCAGCAATGATTGCCATTTTCTTTTGGGACGCCTAATAGTCCCATGTAAGAGCATCTTGCCAATTTGGGGTTGTGTTGCCAAACAGTGCCACGGAATATGCGCTCGATATTGCGTACTGTTGATCGCGATTCTGTATGTTGCTTCAATATCGTGCCCCTTTTTCAGATTATGTCTATCAGCCGTGCCGTTAACTCTTTGAAACCAATCCACGCCCGTATTTTGGCTATAAGAAGTGCTTCTGCAGCCACTTCATCACCAGGAAGCTCAAAGATCCAGTTGCAAAAACCCGAAGGAGAGGAGGTGAGCAATGATTCTGACCTTTTGACGTTGTGCAACGCTGTCAGGTGGTTCTACGCCACTAGTTCTTGAGGGCGTTCAAAATTGAACTCTGTGGTGCGTGTGTGGTGTTCGAAAAGTTCAGAAGGCATGTGACAAGCGGTTGTCACTAGCACCACTGACAGCTGACAATATGTGTGGAACAATCTATCTTCTTGTGATTATACTCTTCGCAAGAAACTAATCCTAAATGATAGATATCTCGCCAGTGTAAAAGATCTGAGTTCACAGGAGTTGTAAGATGTGCACCCAGTTCTGCTCATGCTCTTCAGTAGCTTCCGGGCGTAATTGAACCCAGGCGTTCTGATGCAAAGCCCTCATGACATTCAAAGCTACGACATACATTTTCTGGCTCTAAGATTGCCTGAAGGAGTTCGCAGCATTACGATTATATCTGCTGTACCCTTTCCGCGCTCCGCCGATATCAAGGTTTGCTGAGCCCTAAGGCCAAAGGGGGTATGGAGAAGCCACTCCCCCCTCCTCCCCCGTACTTCCGAACTTACATTAGCGCCCATTTAGAGCTAGTAGAACCTATCTAGTTACGAAAGGAATCTTCGACGCAAATGAATTGCTTCATCTGCTCTGGGTTCCCTCCACAGACCGATAATAATGTTTCCGTAATATTTCTTACCTTCAAAGAGCTTCAAAGGATTTGTTGAGATAAAAATTGGCTTTACCGTATTTCACCGTTACGAAACATATTCAAGGGCTAATATTCGGTGTTCATCCGTAGGCTTAGTTTGGACACGCACGTCCTACGTTGGGAATTCCAAGCGGGGAGGGAGGGGCGTCGTATTTGGATGTTGGAGATAGGGTGGTCGTGTTTTGTCCAATAGCAAGTTTTTTAAAGATGGTTTATTTCTATTCCATGGGCGCTATCCCCATCGTTAGGCGAAATCAATGGGGGGGGGTGGGGGGGTCCTAGTTGCTAGGACAGATGGTCGCAATCCCTTACTGTTGTATATAGCGAGCAGTCACGACACTACCAGCTGCGCCTAAGCTGAAGCCTTGGCTTTAAAAAAGGCTCGTGTTCAGTAGCCTCTCCTCTCCACAAATACCTTAGCGCCGGAATTTCACCCAGGGGTGCGAAAAGTAGTTGAAGGGGCCACCAGGGGCCTGGCCTTTTTTTCACCACTCAAGTATTACTGCTGAGCTCTTTGCTAGTGCGATTCAAAAAGGTTATTAAACGGCCCCATGCAGTTTTGAAACGAAATTCAGAATTAAATGTATTTTTGTTACTCATTTTTTCAGACTATCAATTATAGAGAGAATCTATATTAGGAGTATATTTCATTTCATCTATAAAATTTCAGGGTTTCTTCAGCTATGGCCGAAACTTATCACGTGATCCGAAGTTCAAAGGTGTGAATAAGCCACTGCAGGGAGACACCCCTGGACAGTAAGTTTTGTTGTGGTTTTTTCTTTTTATTAACGCTTTCTGACGTTTCTTTACCTTTTTCGGCAATGATCAAAGTTTCTTTGGAGAATTACGATTGGTACAGATTAGGCAGCGTTCAGACTTTGCGACGGCAGTGCTTCGGTCGCGCGTTCGACGCGATCGATGCGCATGCTTTCGACTGCATCGATCGCGTCCAACGCGCGACCGAAGCGCTGCCGTCGCGAAGTCTGAACGCTGCCTTAAAAGTGGGGGGAGGTGCTAGTGTGGTTTCCTCAAACAACATGCAACTTTACCCTCCTTCCTACAAGGTGACCTGCTGGAAGTGCATCCGCGATTCGCGATTTTTGATCGCTCTAGTTGCGCGAGCCTCGCGATAAGCGGCAACTGGTCGCTCGCTCGGCTACGTTCCTCGCGCAATCAGTGCGACCAATCGCAAAGGTATGCAGCACGCTCTTAGCTGCCCGAAATAGCTTCACATAGAAGCAGTCGTGCGACACTTATATACACACTATTTCACACCGGAAACCAGTACCGTTGCAAGAACTCGTCCTAAGTTCTACGATGTTTCGAGGTAAACTTGTCCTCATAGTAGGCCGGAGCTTACTCCTTTCCCTAGCAGCCTTTCAGAGGGTGAGCTACAGGCTGGGCTTATTGCAAATTAGGAAATCCCTCAGGTCAGTGGAAGGAAAGGGTGCGCGGCCGAGAGGAGGTGGGGGTTAGCAAAGGAAGTTGTCTTCAGAGAAGAGGCAGGAAAGAGAGAACAAATGATTTAGGCAGTAGGGAAATTTTGGCCAGAAATGCGAACTAGTCAAGAAACAGGTACGGTTGAAGGAGATTGCCGCTGTCCAGTTTTGGAGGGGGTCGGTTTGGGGGGGGGCACTTTGCTGTTTTGTTAGTTATTTTGGTCGTTCGTGTTAACTAGCAGGACTCACTTTGGTCAAACCTGTGAACTCCTGTGCAGCTGTGAGATTATGTGAGTCACTTTAGTCACAGAATTCCACAGGTCGTCCCTCTGAGGACAATACAAATTGAGCTGGGTACCATTCAACGCCCTCACAGAGCCGAACTGCGCAGGATAATCTATTTTGTTTCAGATTTTTGTTCCGTCGTCTTGGTCACGCTTACGAAGTTTATCCTCTTCTCTTCCTCGCTGGATTTTGGTTTACGATTTTCTGTGCGACGGCTTGGTACAGCTTCACAAAGATTGAAATTTGGCTCGATAGAAGTAAGATTTTCTACATATATTTTTACGCGACTGGAGTTGGGGTGGGGAGGAGTAGGTCGAGGCACGTGGAGGAGCGACTGACCATGAGTCGACATTTTCGTCCTCCAGCACTGACCCCCTCCCCATCAGATTCAGCTTTGGAGGGGAGCATAGCTGGCCAAGCCTCCCCATTCCCACGCCTAACTCCAGTGGCCCCAAGTTTTTGCCTCTTTCGACGTGTATTCGTCCATTTTTGGTCTAATGTCTTTTGATGTAGGTAAGTCGGCAGCACCATGGGATTGGGAGCGTTCACGTGAGTCTTACTGGAAGAAGGGAACCGTCGCGTAAGTTTTATTGCTAATATTACTGATGTGAGATTCTTAACAAACACTTTTATGCCCTTCAAACGCTTTTATGATTTAGATTCGACTTCGAGGGAAAAACTCGCCAGCGTTGTGAACTGATGGAAATGCTTCAAGACGAGATGCTGGAAGCCGCGAAGAAGAGAGGAACTCGATAATGTTATATATAAAATTTCTAGTTTGATATGTTTTAGCCGGTGTCGATATTGTTCTCATGGTTGGAGTTGTCTATCTCGAATAAACGAAAGGGCCTTGAAAAATGTTTCGTAGAGAGAATTGGAAAATGAATTGTATCTCGAAGTACTCTGCGGTTTCACCGTCGACGGAGAAGGATTCACAGTACTGAAGGTTAGAACTCAGAGATTTGTTCCGAATGCACAAGGTGCCGCCACGGGGGTAAGGCAGTGGGTGCTCTGGCTGGTCCATGATGAGGTAGATGATGGGAAAAGTAGGAAATCCCAGGCGAAACGATCAAAAACCGACGAACGGTTCATTCTATCCCTTTGGTGGCGGACCGGGCGAGTCGTGTTAACATGGATCACTGTGCGTATGTTAAGTGGCGCGACAGATGGGGAAACTCCTTCAGAAGTTCAGTTTCTTATGACTTTCCTAACTGGCCATCAAGAGATGTCCGGATGGGATTCGAGAGCAACAGAACCGAGGTTCACGACTGTGAAGCCGTTAATTACCAACGTCGTACAATTCAGTGATCCGGACGAGTTATTCCAGTGCAGGGAAGACGCATGGAGACGGACAACGCAATCGTAGCATGCTGTGCTGTCGCGCGCGGCTGTGCGCGACAAATCCTTCATCTGGCGTCAGGTGCCCCCCCCGTATCGTTGGAACAACTTGACTCATCGACACTTAGCGGAAAAAGGGCTCATTCCGAATGAATGTTCGATTGTTTTCCCCGTGCTTTTTAATACATTTCAAATCAAAAAGGCAGGCGCAGGACACTCGCCCCTCTCGTGTGCAACGCCGCTGCCCCTACGCCCAGCCCGGGCCCAATTTACATTGGCAATACACGCATTTGGAAGGCGTACCATCACGTCAAAGAAAAAGAAAGTAAGGAACCTAAATGGCCGATGTGTACAGGCATCGAGGGTGGGTGGAATGGAGATATCACATCCCCAACCGCCGCCGCTGTTCCGTTCAGATCAGGCGGTGCCACCTACCCCATCCCTACTCTACACATTGCCCGAGCTTTTCGGCAATTACGCCGTTTTAATCCAGCTATTTTCCGCCCGATAAGCTCCTCCAGTTTGTTCCCTCAATAAATGGGGTTGAAGCGAGGGGGGAGGGGGAATTGTCGTCACCCTAATCAACGCATCTGAGATCAACTATCATAAGAAGGGAAGCTGTCCAATTAGACCTGCAGCAGCGCTACTAGGAAAGGAGGACTTACTTTGTGCTCGTGATAAATGGCGCTTAAGGTGCAAATACTCCGTCTCGCTCCTCCGGTGACCTCCCCTACATGCTACACCTTGATGTCAATAGCGCCAAATGACTCTACCCCTCATTGCAAGACAGTTGTGATTCTGGCTATTTAAAGCTCTGCTAGAAGAGCTAGACGCTAACAAATGGAGAACGACATTTGCTGTGCAGCCATATTGCTATTGATCATTGCTGCAGTTGGTGTCTGAATGCGTGTGGATCAGACGGTGTCCCGTTTAGATACATAAGTTTCAACTTTGGGAAGGATGAGGCTCCTATGAATCCTACTCCCTGCGCACTGGAAATCCCATCGATTCGCCTACTATGTGGGCATGATGAATGAGATCCCACAGAGAATGTTACGGTATCGCTTTCTCAATACATTTAGTTAAAATTGCGCCTTTTTTGCAGTTCAGAGCTCAAGTACAATATACACTATGGGTTGCAAGTCACCCTTTCGGGAGGACAGCAAATGTGACTCACCGCTTCCTTCTCAGGGTCTCGTCCATCGCTTCGGTTCGTGGAGCTGCGAAATCTCTCGGCAACAGGCCGTCAATAGAGGGCACATCTACAGCCAGCAATGTGTCATGCCTGGCAACAGACAGAGTGGTGCGGCTGGAAGCAAGGACGCATATTGAGGCTCAGCAGGCTGTCTACCAGTTGCTGCATAGTCAAGCCGTCGTGTTCACGTGCTGCATCGCCCAGACTTACCACCGGTTGTGACCTTTGGATTTCGGTTTTTTTTTCAGGAAAATTGATATATCATTTCCTGTTATCATTCCTTGTTGAGGGAAGCAATTCGTTTGACTTTCACTCGGAATAGTAGCGGACTTGGATGGGTATTTTTTAACAGAATCTTTGGCACTATTCAACTATTACTACCCCAAAAAGTCAAAAATTTTTTTGCTGAAACTTTGCCCACAGAGGTAATTCGGTGTCCTGATCACGAATATAGCACTCGTTTTCGGCGCTGGCGCCAAATTGGCGCCAATTGGCGCCAGTTTGGCGCCGCCACCTTTCTCACCAAATTCGGTGTAAATTTGCATAGTAGGGTTATTTGATGTCCTGATCACGAATACCGAATTAGTTTTCAGCCCTGACGCCATTTGGCGCCATTAGGCGCTGATTTGGCGCCACACCCTTTTTTATCAAAATCGATAAAAACCTGCATAATGGGGTTGTTTGATGCCCTGATCACGAATATGACATTTATTTTTCGACACCAGCGCCATTTAGCGCTTTTCTAAGGCTGAGCCTAGGAGAGTGATTACCTGCAGGTCAGGCTCAGCCTTAGCAGAGCGCAGATGATCGCAGCGTCTTCATCAGCGCCAAAAATGAATGTGATATTTGTAATCAAGATGTCAAATAACCTCCGTATACAAGTTTTCAGCGGATTTGTGACCTAGGGTATTTTGGCGCCGGCGCCTGTGGCGCGGGCGCCAGGCGGTTTCAGGCCGAGCGGATGTGATATTCGTGTTCAGGAGGTCAAACTAACCCGGGAACAAGATTGCAGCGGAAGGTAATGTAGGGTACCTTGGCGCCGGCGCTTGTTGCGCGGGCTCCAAGCAGTTTCAGGCGAAGCGGATGTGATATTCGTGTTCAGGAGGTCAAACTACCCCTGGGGACAAGTTTTCAGCGAATTCGGTGATTTAGGGTTTTTGGCGCGGGCGCCAGGCACTTTCAGGCCAAGTGGATGTGATATTCGTGTTCAGGAGGTCGAATTACCCCTAGAACCCAACTTTCAGCCAAATCTGCCCCGTAGAAAAAAGTCGATCAAGATCCGGCCTGTTTTCGCAAAACTGGGGTAGTAATAGTTGAATAGTGCCGAATTTTTCTAAGACAGCGTTCAGACTTC